TGTCTCTCTCTCCTCTCTCTTTCTCTCAATCTCAGTCTGTCTGTCCCAATTTCTGTCTCTCTCTCCTCTCTCTTTCTCTCAATCTCTGTCTGTCCCAATTTCTGTCTCTCTCTCCTCTCTCTTTCTCTCAATCTCAGTCTGTCTGTCCCGATTTCTGTCTCTCTCTCCTCTCAATCTCAGTCTGTCTGTCCCGATTTCTGTCTCTCTCTCTCTCTGTTTTGCACTCGCTCACTGTCCTAAACAAGTTAAAACTATTTCTGTGCCCCTCCTCTCTCTCACTGACTGACTTCCTCCTTTCAGTTTTACCGGACTCTGTGGGGATCATTGAGATACAACTTGACCCAAGTTATCTGTCAGCGACGATACTGTGAGCAGAGTCTGAGAATGGCCAGTGAGTCCTTCCTCACTTTGGTTTTCCTTCTGTCCTCTCTCTGGCCGTGCCAGGGGTCTGTACAGCCTGGTGAGTGAGGGGTTTAAAGGCTGGGGGTTGGTGGGGGGTGCGGGGTGAGTCTCAGCTGGCTAGGGGCTGGGGTGGGAAAGGGAAACCAGAATCATCAGAGTCTAAAACCTCCGGGCACTTCCAAAGCCTCGTCCACGCACAGCAAGATCCCGCAGCTGCCCACCACCCACCCTCCATCTGGACCTTTTTCTACCCAGTCCAAAGGAACGACTCATTCCACCTCCCTCTCTGTCCCACCCTCTCCATATCTCACATGCCCCCTCCCAAAACCCTCTTTGCTTCCCCACCCACCCAACCCAACCACCGACGATGCCTCCTGCTGTGCCCCAGTGAGGTCGCCAAGTCCATTTTCTGAAGCTGGTTGGCTCGGGCCGACAAAGAGGCAACTAACATTCGCGCCACACAAATGCCAGGCAGTGACCGTCTCCAACGAGCGACAATCTAACTATCGCCCCCTCCCTTGATGTTCAATGGCGTTACCGTCACTGAATTCCACCCCTCCCCCCCGCCACTATCAACATCCTGGGGGTTCCCCATTGAGCAGAAACTGAACTGGGACCCAGCCCCAAATCAGTCCTGTGGCTACGAGAGCAGGTCAGAGGCTGGGAATCCTGCAGCGAGTAACTCCCCTCCTGTCCCACCATCAACAAGACACAAGGCAGGAGGGTGAGGGGAACACCCCCCACTTGCCCTGGACGGGGGCAGCTCTGACAACACTCGAGAAGCTCCACATCTTCCAGGGCAAAACAGCCCCCATCCCTGCGCTTGATGGACATGCTAACCACCTCCCCCCCCCCCCACCTTCAATGCTCCCTCCCACCACCACTGATGCACGGCGGCAGCTGGGATCATTAGGAATGCTCGGCTGAGCTCCAACAGCGATGCAGAAGGGCAGCAATGTGTACTGTCTACAAGATGCACCGCAGCAACTCGCCGAGGCTCCTCCAACTGACAGCACCTTCCGAACCCGCCACACCCTCTACACCCGGCACCCCTCTGCCGCCACACCCCAAACCCCCTCCCCCTGGGAAAGGATGAGGGAGCAGCAGAATCACCGGGAACACCATCCCCTGCAAGTTTCCTCCAAGTCCCTCATCATCCCGACCGGGAATGATATCCGTCTGTTCAATGTTGCGGGGAAGCCACAGAAAATAGTAATACCTTAATTGGAGACTCGAAGGGTTGCTACAGGAAGTGGAGGAACCTGGCTGTGTGAATCGTAAGGAATGAGGAAGATGATTGGAACTTACTCCAAGCTGAAATGGTGTATAAGGCTTTGGAAGTCTTGCTCCAAATGTAGAGGGCGTTGGTGGAACGTCACTGGGAACACTGTGCCCAGTTCTGTTGCCTATCATAGAAGGAGGGCTAGACTTATGTTGGAGTTAGTTTAGAGAGCGTTCGCTCAGAACGTAGGGGTCCATCTTCCGAGGAGAGGATGAGCAGGAGAGGATGGTCACAATGAAACATCCTGAGGGGAGCATGGAGACAGCCTGTTCCCCACACCAACACCACCCCCCGCCCCCCATTTCCCCGGCTGTGTGGGGCAATCTGGAACGATGGGGGTTTCAGAAGGTGGGGAGAAGGAGGTGGGCATCAGCTCTTCTGTTGGAGGCTGGAGGTGTCTGTGGGATTCTCTCCCTTCACTCACCTCCCCCAGCACCCGCACCCCCCACCCCAACTCCCAGACAGGTGGATTGAGGAGGGAGGTTTTCTGATTGAGGGGGGAACTGAAGGCTTTGGGAATTGGAGGTCGGGGGGGAGATGGGAGATGAGAAAGTGGCCCAATCAGAACGGCCTCCTCCTGCTCTCCCTGCCCCCTAAGCACGTTGAAAAAGAAACCGACCTTGCATTCTTGCGTGGGCATCCTGATTCTGACGGTTTGGTTAACATCTCCAACCGTTGATCCATCTCAGACAGGTGGAACATGCAGTTCGGCTGTTTTGCGGCAGATGATCCCAGGTTCCCGGAGTTGGTGTGTGAGCTCCAGGTTGAAGGTAGACCCTTCATCTACTATGACAGCAGCTTGCCAGACATCCAGTTCCTGGCCCCGGGTTTCGAAGACTACCGCGCGATCCTGACAGAATTCACACAAGATCGTGACAGGACTGTGGCGTCGCTACGGAGAGCATTGGCCATAGCGGCCGTGGTGACCAATCATTCGAACAGCCCAAACGGTGAGTGGAGGAGCTTCAAAACTGCTCACCCCTTGGTGGGGGGACACACACAGTCTGCCCGTGCACACTCCCCAGCTGTTGGAGGTGCAGGTCCCTTTAAGAGTGAACCTTCCAGACTCAGCTCGAGATTGAGGATCTCGGATTTTGGGTTGGGGGGGAATTGAGCTGGAAGATGGGAAATGTGGAAACTGTTGGCTGTGCTAAATTGGATTTGTATGATTAAAAGCCCCTGCTGAAACTTGCCCCTACCCTGGGGCAAAAGACCTCATCTATTTCCCCTATCCATGCCCCCCATGATTTTATAAACCTCTATAAGGTCACCCCTCAGCCTGCGACGCTCCAGGGAAAATAGCCCCAGCCTCTCCCTGTTGCTAAAACCCTCCAACATCCTTTTCTGAACCCTTACAAGTTTCCCAACATCCTTCCTGTAGCAGGGAGACCGGGATTGAATGCAGTTTTCCAAAAGTGGCCTCACCAATACAGTCGCAACATGACCCTCCCAACTCCTACACTCAATGCACAGACCAATAAAGGCGAGCGTCCCAAACACCTTCTTCACCGCCCTGTCTATCTGTGTGTGAAGCGGGGTGGGTGTCTTTTCCCCCAGGGTAGGGATTTCCAAAACTAGAGGGGCATAGGTTTAAGGTGAGAGAGAAAAGACTTAAAAGGGATCTAAGGGGCAACATTTTCATGCAGGGTGTGTGTGTTGAACGAGCAGCCAGAGGAAGTGGTGGAGGCTGGTACAGTTACAATATTTAAAAGGCATCTGGATGGGGACATGGATAGGACGGGTTTAGAGGGAAGTGCTGGCAAATGGGGACTGGATTAATTTAGGATATCTGGGTCAGCATGGACAGGTTGGGCTGAAGGGTCTGTTTCCGTGCTGTACAATTCTGTGTCAGTTGTGGTTATAGAGTATAAGAGCGAGGAGGTGATGTTGGAGCTGTACAGGACTTTGGTGAGGCTACAGCCGGAGTATTTCTGGTCTCCGCGCTGGAGCTGGGGTAATGAGGAGATTTGCTGGGATGTTGCCTGAGACAGAGGGATGAAAAGAGGTTGGAAAAACTCGGATTATTTTCTGTGTAACGGAGAAGGTTGAGTGAGGGCTGTGTCAGGTTAGGAGGTGCACGGGCAGGGGAGGGATAGAAAGCATTGCTCTCCCTTAGTCAAAGGGGTTAAATTTTAAAACGAAACGTTCAGAATGGAGTTTGAGGCAAGAGAAGAACGAGACCTGGTGGGCTTCCGGAAGGTTCTGCCTGGGAGGGCCGTTGATGGCGGGGGTGGGGAGGGG